TTGAAGTTTAAATTATAATGCTAATTTATTAATAGATTAATAGATTAATATGATATATAATAATAAATTAGTAATATCATTAGTTTTTTAGTATATTAGTAGAGATTATAGGCCCCTACTTGTTTTTAGAAATAGTCAAACTTTTTAATGCGTTTGTGAGAATGGAGGTTGTGACCTTCAATTGGGGCATGATGGTAAATATAACGATAGTAAATACTAATGTGATTGTATTACATTGATATTATTAGTATGATATTAACAATAGCAAAGTACTAGTAATATTATTATAAAAATATAGTAGAATATTGTTTACATTTGGATTTGTGTCGATGTTTAGAGTGAGATCAACTTAATCTCATGTGGAACGAATTAATTTTTCGAGATCAGTAGAGAGAGTGGGGTTGCTCAAATTATGGGCTCAGCAGATCTATACAGAATCGATCCTTTTCCAAGTCCACTGCCAGCGGCAGCTCCAAATATGTATATTATACCTTAAAAAGCTTCTAAAATTTAACTAAATATAATAATAAAGAAATAATCGAAAAAAAAATAAACCAAAAAAATAGAGGAAGAATAAATAAAAATAAAATAGAGTGAAAGAGTACGTACCTAGAAATCCCGGAGTTGAGGTCCGTATCAGATTTACACCTTTTGATGTTTTCTCTTGCTTTCTTAAAGCATGACTCGAAGGTTATGGATCTAGGAGAACTTGTTCTTAATATTTGATCTTGGTTTTGGAGAGAGTTTGATAAGATCTGAGCTTATGAGAGTTTTCCTAAGGCTTTTTAGAGTTTTTCCCTAATTTTTAAAGGTTTTCCCTAATTTTATATAGTATTTTTTTGGATATTTTCTATTTTTCTAGAATTATTGGAGGAATTTGTTTTTTTAGGCTTTCTAGTATTTTTCTAATTATCTAGGTTTTTCTTGTTTTCTAGGCGATTTTTTATTTATCTAGAATTTTATGGGAATTTCCTGACTTATTTTCTTGAAAAGTTTTAGTATATTATTTTAGTATTTTAGATGGGGTATTCATAGGCTTTCGATAGGGTTAGGGATGGAATATGTTGATCTAATCTCATACTTATAGTTTGACTAGGATCAGGGTATTTTTTGAAATTTTCCATAATATTCCAAAAAAAACCGAGGAAAAATCTAGTCAAAAGAGCCTTAGGATACATTTTGGCTTGTCTCGGGCCCGTCAGGCTGCATGATACACGGCATGTCATGTGGCAAGTCGTGTAGGGGCTAAAACATCATTTTGTAGAATAGTTTTCTCAGGCCATAAATCTCTAACTGTAAGTTGTGTTTAAGAGATTTTTAGATCGTTGGAAAGCTTGTGACATCCTCTATAATTTGAAACCAAATTTGGTCAAGTTTGAGTTACTTTTGAGCGGTCTACAAAGATAAGACTTTGGGATCTTGGTTCCAAGTTCTTGGATGTCTGATTGGTATTTAGGCCAGTTTTTGCCAAGGCTTGTCCTTTGACAGCCTTTTGTAGACATAGGTAATGTTACTTTTCATAAGTAGTGTCCACTTTGCTAAACATAGCAATAAAGTAGACTTGGTTATAAGATACTTGATTGGGTATATACGAGATGTAATGCGTATTGGGTGTGTTAATTGGTAATGTCGTAGCTTTTGTGTTGCAAACACCAATGCTAGACACTTCTTCTCAATGGAAGAATAATTGCGTTCGTCGAGCATCATGGTGCGGCTCAAATAATATATTGCTGCTTCCTTCTCCTCGTCATTGTGCCGGGCAAGAAGGGAGCCTATAGATGCTTCCAAGGAAATCACCTATAAAATTAATAGCCAGAATTGGTGCAGTAAGGACCGTAGTTTTCAAAAGATAGTTCTTGATATCTTGAAAAGCCCTTTGGCACGCCTCATCCCATATAAAAAGGCTTACCCCTTGCTCTTTTTGAGTCATTCACTTGAATTTACTCGTACCTCTTAATAGGTGTTGTATTAGGTTTGTATTGTACATGGCCAGCTTACTTAAGTCTACTTTCTCTCATCTTATTCCTATTGGTACCACATCTAACTTTTCCCAAATGTATTCATTTTGAGTTCTATCTCTTATTGTCTTGCCACTCATCGATCTTAATATTTTTATCTAAGCTACACTCATTCTATAGGTATGTTGTTTCCCGACCACCCAACATTTCGTCTCATAAAGCAAAGCTGGTCTCATAACTGTCCTATAGAATTTACCCTTCAGCTTCATTAATATGCGTTGATCATACAAAACTTCAATTACACATAATATATTAAAAAATATTATCAATAAATTTTAAAGGCTAAAATTAATATTTTAAAAAAATAATTTTAGAGTGGTACTTTTGGTACCACCCCTTTTTTCACATCCAACTAATTTTAGAGTGGTACTTTTGGCACCACAACTTTTTTCACATCCAATTAATTCTAGAGTGGTGCTTTTGCGACCACCACTTTTTTCACATCCAATTAATTCTAGAGCGGTACTTTTGGGACCACCACTTTTTTCACATCTATTAGTTACGACTCCCGAGTACCATAGTGAATCAGTGCTGCATTGACTAGAACCTACATACTGCGACAGACAATATTGGTCCCCAAGCCTCTTCATTGTTAAGGAATGAAGGGAAACATGCCACCTACCAATGGAAGAAGCCTTATCATGGCAAAACTCCTTGTCCTCATTAACCTAAACTATCCACCATTATCTTCCTCCCATCTCTCTATTATAGAATTTTAAGAGTGAAGATTCCAACTTATAATCCTGATTTCCATTT